GCATCACGTCTTAAGTAAACATCTTTTTTCAAAGAAATTGTTTAGAAAATCATAAAACGTATCATCCAGTTCAAAGATTAACTTTGTTTTATTAAAATTGGTTAATTCTATAGAAAGTTTTGATTATTATTTTGAAATGTAGGTTCGATTTGTTTAAAGGCGCCATAAAACCTCAGAAATAGTAATAAAATGATTCCTTTTTATAAAAAAACGTTTTATTATATATATATTTATACTTTAAACACAGTAAACAAAAAATATGTTTTCCTTAAATTAAAAAAGGATGTCTTCCACGAAGAACGTAATAGATGGCGTTGTACGTTAACGAGTCCATTCAAGCTGAAAGAGCCGTGTAGGGTGTAAGCTAACAGCACAAACATCAACAAAAACAGATATCAGAAAAAAGATACGTACGCCCAGGCTAAACGTAGCAAAATTGCATCAAAAACAATATGTCAAGATGTTGTTTTATACCAAGAATCCACCTTATATCAAATAATTTTCCTTTCAGTTGTAAGCGTGTTCTGTTCCCACTTCCCATTCCCAGTCAGCGTGTGTTATGCGATGACCGATGACCGTAAATAAAGCGCAAGGTCAAACTTTACGCGTTGCAGGAGTGGACCTCAGTACTGACTGTTTTGCACATGGCCAACTCTATGTTGCTTTTTCCCGCGTTAGTAGCTCCCGTAACATTTTTCTGTACGCCCCGGCTGTCTACTTCTAACGTCGTTTACACAGAAGTTCTATCACAAACGTCTCAGAACTTTTAGCATAACGATTTATTTTGGTGCCACTTATTCATACAGTAATAATATAAATCTTTTAATATTCTCTTACCTAAACGTCAAATTCTTTAAGTAAAACCTATATACGCGAGCTACGCCGCGGGCACAGCTAGTTATACATATATACGTACACTGAGTCATTCACTGCAAATGTAACTTTGTAATCCTCTATACTCATTGTACCCTTAATATGGGATTACAAAGTTATTTATGCAGTTGGTATATCTCGAATACTGAACCGAAGTTGCAAAATATTTTAGTTTTTCCTTGATTTATATTCTAAACAATAATTGTATTCCAAATTTGAAGCTTCTATGTCTGTTAGAAGTGCCTTAGAGTTTTGATGATCGGTCAGTCAGTGAGTGAGAAAATTAAGAAATTTGACTAGTTATAATTCTTAAACTACTGGATCAATTGAATGAAATTTGAAATATACTGAGTTTATACAATGTCTACTTGATTACTGAAAATTCAGGCTTCTAATTTTATCCACAACGAAGTTATAGGGTTTCGATAATGACCTGAACTGCTTCGAGAAAAGGATGGTCCGGCCGTGCCGCTTTTTTGCTCAACTTGGCGGGGGCACTGCCGTGCCCCAGATATCTATAAGGTCTTATCTTAATAACAAGAATGTAATAAACAGAACGATTGAACTGTCGTTCACGCGCACGTGATAGTCTTTTTTTTATAGAAGAGGGGGCAAACGAGCATATGGCTCACCTGATGGTAAGTGATTACGGCTGCCCATGGACAACTGCAACACCAGGGGAACCAGGGCAATTGCAGATGCGTTGCCGGTCGTTTAAAAAGGAGTAGGCTCTTTTTGAAGGTCCCTAAGTCGTATCGGTCCGAAAAAATCACTGGTGGTAATCGATTGCACAAGGAAGTTGTGCGAGGAAGATAACATCTTCTAAATCGCACAGTGGTGGACCGCCAATCATCCAGATGGGTGTGGATGGTATCGGGAGTTCTGTCGCGATGAGCGTTCATGAAATTTAGCGGCTGGGATTAATCCGAACAATTCCTCAGAGCACGCTCCGTGGTAAATATGAAAGAAAAATCCAAAGCGATGCAACATCTCTTCGCAGCGCCAATTAATCGAGCCGATCGGAAAGGACTCGATCGTCGACGATTCGAGTCGTTCTGCGCTGGATGTGGTCAAGTGGAAGGAGTCAGACTCGGACACGTCTCAAAACTAAAATTAATAATCAATCCCGCCAAAACAAATGCGCACGAGGCATTCGTAACATCGTTGAAGCTCTGAGCATTTCCACAGACCTTTAAACCATTACGATATTGCCAACGTTTATTTTATTTATAAGTATAGTTATCCCTACGACTAGTGTTCATATGGAATTTAGAAGTTATGGTTGTCATTTTTAATACAATTACACAATCACTTGTACCCTGACACAACAGGCAGTTCTTTACTACAAAATTTATATTGAAATTAATAAACGTACCTAATTGGGTACTAAGTACTCACACAATTATAAAGACTATTTCATCGTTATCTTTGATTTTGTATAAGAAACTAGAAATGAAATGATACTGAATAATTAAATATTTTAAATCAATTGCAATTATGATCGACAGTTAATTAATCTATCAGAATTAATGTAAAAATAATATTTTTACTTTATTTTAATTGACTTTCCGTATTTAATTTGACCAATACTTTGTATTTAATAAGAGGTACGCCCAAACTATTAAAAATTACTTCCAAGTTTTATAGTGATTGCCGCGTCTGAATCTTATGTCGCCGGCAAACTAAATATCGGTGCAACATGGCAGCGTTGCTAACACCAATTTGTCAAATTCCCCAATTTAAGGACAAAACTTCAACAGATTCCCCACAAATTTCCCTCAATTTTATTTTAAGAAATGAATAAATTTTATAAGATTTACTTTTTCACTAACATTTTTTTTTTCTTCAAAATTATTTTTTAGTTAATATATAAAAGAAATGTAAAGCATTAAATGATACACAAAAGTTGCCGAAATAAATCCGAAAATTAAATGTGGTGCAATTAAGATAATTAAAAAAGGGAGTCATTCGATATTCATAAGTAACCTAACAAAATGTTAAGATAAGTATTTAGATTTCTTGAAAAAGGTTCTGATTTGGCCCTGGCTATCGATTTTCAAAATCCCCGTATTTTCCCCGCATAATACCAATTCCCATAAAATTCCCAACCAACTTTAATTTCCCCGCAATTTTTGCGGTACCGCGAGTGTGAAAAGGAAGGGTAGAGTGAGTAGGCATTGTTTCGCACCGAGCTGGATAAGAGTTCGGCGTCCACGAAAATATTGGCGCAATTGTCAGCTGATTTTATTGAAGTTCCACTGCTGGTTTTACTTTTAAGTATTTTCATGATTTTTTTTTTATGTAATTATCGTTTCATTTAGCTGTACTAACATGATGGAGCCTGAATAAAGTTAATAAAACGTTATGAAAGATGATTTTTTCCCCGGGATCGAATTTCTTTGTGACCCATAATCAAAGGTATCTTTAGTACTATCGTCTGTCTTCGTTTTCGGGAGCGTTTTACAAACACCCGGTATACTGGATTAAGGAAATAATAATGTCCTTCCGCACGAGTGTGTGCACAAACACAGATAATTACACACTCATAATCTACCTAGGACCGCAATTCGATACAACTGGAGAGAGATCTGACACAAGAAGCACCACTAACTTCCTGGTGTCAGCTGCTTTTTGACAGAAGGTTTTTCTGGTAACAATAAATGATTTTGTTCCATCATGGGATCACGCTTACAGCCACTAAACCAAAGAAACAATAAAAAAAAAACTTATTTGTCTCATTTATACGAACATTTCAGAGTTATGTTAAGCCACATAACGCGATAGTAATTTCTTTCTTATAATGTCCTTTATGGTCTCGCCTCTTAAATAATTCCAGCATAGCAGTACAATTGCAAAAATATGCACAATTTACAGTCACAGTTAACATGTTCTATAACATACTTCTTATTATTATCAATGGTAAAAGTTCTTCCGGGTCACCTGTACTAATGGGTGTACCTCAGGGCTCGATTCTCGGCCCATTCCTGTTTCTGGTGTATATTAATGACTTACCTCACCTTGTAGGGGATAGTCATGATATAGTATTATTTGCCGATGATACTTCCTTGATTTTTAAACTTAACCGTCAATCATTTAAATGTGACGAAGTGAATAATGCTATATCAAAATTAGTGCATTGGTTTAACGTTAATAATCTGCATTTGAACGGAAATAAAACTAATTGTGTTAAATTTACAACAACGAATGTTCAAAATCTGAATACCAATGTGTTTTTTAAATGGGGAGGAATTGAGCCCTGTTGTATCCACTATTTTTCTTGGCATCACTCTTGACGCAAAGCTCCAGTGGGGCCCCCATATATCCAAATTAGCAAGCAGACTAAGTTCTGCAGCCTATGCCGTAAAAAAGATTAGAGGTCTCACTAGTGTCGAGACAGCTAGATTAGTTTATTTTAGTTATTTTCATAGCATAATGTCTTATGGGATTTTGCTATGGGGAAATGCGGCTGATTCAGAAACTATTTTTGTTTTACAGAAGAGGGCCATTAGAGCTATTTACAATCTAAAACCGAGAGAGTCTCTTAGAGATAAATTTAAAGAAATTAATATATTAACTTTGGCCTCTCAGTATATTTACGAAAATTTAATGTATGTTCACTAAAACAAAGATAGTTTTAGTAAAAAAAGTGATATACATTCTGTAAACACTAGGAACAAACACAAGCTAGTGATACCAGTTTCTCGACTCCACAGAGTCAGTAATTCATTCTTGGGGCAATGTATACGCTATTACAACAAGGTCCCGGAAAGTGTACAGGTTCTCTCTATTACCAAGTTTAAATGTTTTATTAAGCTGGAACTGTATAAAAAGGGTTATTATAGTATAAATGAATACATGGTTGATAATAACCCCTGGGAATGAGGTGGTCGCTTCCAAGCAGTTTCTAAAATAAATTTTGTAAATAGTTCGTAATCATTTATATTGTAAAATTTATTTTTAAAAAAAAGTCCCGCTGGGTTTCTTGCTGGTTCTTCCCAGGACAGAGGGTTTTTTTCGAACCAGTGGTAAATTAAAAAATGACTTTCAATAAGAATTACACATGTAATGTATATTGAATAAAAAAATATTCTATTCTATTCTATTCTATTCATGCTCTTACTTTTTAGGCAAGTGCTTATCAATATCTAGAAGGAGTTTCTCAAAAACCCTATAGTATGGCGATGAATACACAGACTCCAGCTTCATACGACGCAGGTGTGGGTGGCAAGTATGGTGCTTCTAGTACAACTATAATACTGGTGAGTTGAAAATTTAAAATGTTCACAAATCTATTGTTTGCAAAAGCTAAAATTTTCTAAAACTTAAACTAGTCAATTACTGCATTTTGACATACCAAACTTGTTTATATAACGGTGCGTACACATTATATAATATAACATATAACAGAACGTTGTTATATAACATGTTTCAGTAATTTGGAGGTTGAATGTTATAAAACTTGTTATACAACTTGACACAAATATTATATAACTTGAACGCCAAAACGACAAACGACAATGTCATATAACATTGTTATTCTAATGTGTACAGTATTGTTATATGTTGCAATGTTGAAAAACAATGTTACATAATGTGGACGTGTTATAAAACAACAAGTAACAAAAATATGTAGGTAATACAAATTTATTAAAAACCATAATTCATATGCTAAAATTTCATGACTAAATATTTTACTTTAGAAAATTAATGCTGTTTAGTGTCAATTGGATGTACTGACTCTACATATTATTAACATCATTGATAATATTATGCAAAATTGTCTAAGTTTTCATCATGTTTGATATTGCATCTAAATCAATTATTTAAATTTACTCACATTTGAAGCTAAGTTGTATTACCTAGGAGTAAGGTTCAATTTTGTTACAATTGAAACAAGATACATAATAGTAAAATATAAAACTGTTACTGTTAATGATATGATCTGATGATAGAGTGACAAGCAAAGTCTAGTTTTATAAAGGTTTGTGACATTTTCCTCATTTTTTATCATGCGCTTGATTCTGAGTGACTAGATAGAATTCCTTACAGTTTATAGTACTTGAAAAAAATATATTTCAAAAGTATAAAACAATTAAAACTACAAACTATATGGTAGGTGTCTGTTTCTATGTAGGTACCAATAATAATTACACGTGGTAGAGCCATGCTGCAGCTATATTTGTAGTATAGTTGTAGCACGAATGGGTCGGCTCGTCCGGGGAAGGACCACGCTCTCACAGAATACCAGCGTAAAATAGCAGCTTTGGTGAGTGTAGAGAACCGGAGACTCTTTTTACTGGAAAAGGGGCATTCCATCTTAGTCCTCACGGGTGGCAACGCATCTGCATTTTGATTCGCAAACGAGGATAAATGTAGATGTCTATGAGCCACAGCAACCACTTACCATCAGTGGTTGGACTGTGTGCTCGTTTGTCAAAAACCAGCGTGAAGTAGAGGTTTACCTCTGCGTTTAGCTTGGTGAGTGCAGGTGGCCGGAGGCCCTTTTTGCTGGAAATGAGGCATTCCATCTTAGTCCTCACGGGTGTCAACGCATCTACATTTTGATTTGTAACAGAGGATAGATGTAGATGTCTATGGGCCGCAGCAACCACTTACCATCAGGTGGACTGTGTGCTCGTTTGTCACCCTTATCCTATAAAAAAAAAATATCCTATAAAAAAAACACCCTCTTATCTATTTCTAGGGCCAACTAGCAGTGAGTGCACTGCTCTGTTCCGGTCTATAGGGTATAAAGAGCCATTATAATTATTACAAGCTGTGAGGAATTTCATCTTAGTTCTCCAAGGTGGCAAAGCATCTTTAGACATTTTGTTTGAAGTTGGTTACGAGTGTCCATGAGTTGTGGTAGCCACTTAACCCTAGGTAGAGTGTTAGTTCTTTTGTCAATTCAATAAAAAGAAACTGGAAGGCAATATGGTTTTGTACACGGTAGTGCCACGCTGCAGTTATATTATGGTTGTAGCATGAAGGAGTCAGCTCGACAGGGAAGGAACTACACTCTCGCAGAATGCCAGCGTAAAATAGCAGTTTTAATGCTACTTTATTTCGTATGGTGAGTGTAGAGAACCGGAGACCTTTTTTTAATGAAACAAGATATTCCATCTTAGACCTCAGGGGTGACATCGTATCTACATTTTGATTCTTATTCAAGGATAGATGTAGATGTCTATGGGTCACAGCATTCGCTTAACGTCAGGTGGGTTGTGTGCTCGTTTGTCACTCTAATTTTATTTAAAAAAATATACTGCTTCTTGGTGGAAGAGATGTATTAGAAGGTGCTACTTACAGGCACACTTAGGCCTAAAAGAATTCCTACCTTAAATCATAACTATCGATATATTTGTCCTGCTTACTTAATAGTTAACAATAATATTTGATATTATAATCAATTTACAGTACCATGTGTTTGAGATATGGACTCAGCGGGTTAGGTGTTCGCCATAAATTTCACAGTACGCCAGCAACCCTGTTTTCATCCCTGTCAGCAGCAATGAAATTGTTAATTACAATTTTAAGTGCTGATGAATTTTTAGTTATTTGCTCCTCATTGGAAGGAGTTCTGTGATGAAACTAAAGTCCGCCAGCACGCACTGGACTAGCGAGGCGCACTGTTACTCCATCATACCTCCTTAGAATTTAGAAGAGGCCTGTCACCCAGCTTTGTGACATGTATAGGCCGTAACTTCACTCACTTTTTAGGGTTCCGTACCCGAAGGGTAATCACAGGCACCCTATTACTAAGCCTCCGCTGTCCGTCCGTCTGTCTGTCAGCGGACTGTATCTCATGATACGTAATAGGCAGACAAATAATAAAACTTAAAAAATATTAAAGGGGAACCCTACTAGAAACGTGTATTACGATGATACGGAACCATTCATGCTTGAGTCCGACTATCTCTTAGTCGGTTTTTTTTTAAATCAAACCTATCAGTATTATTTATTACTAGACGAATGGTACAAACCTGCCCCTAGGGTTGGTCAACCCAATAGTGCGTTCCTTTTTACGTATTTGACCCGTACCTTATTACGTGGTATATATAGACGCACTGCAGGTATATAAATATAGGTACAGCACGAATGGGTTATCTCGAAAGTGTAAGAACCACACTTTCAAAGAATACTTTCTCATAATACAGCAGTAAAATAATGCTGTATTTTGTGCAATGAGCCATAACAGAGCTGCGGTTGCTCTGAGAGTAAACGCTCACTGTAAATTTCATAAAACGATAGCAACCCGGGTTGGGTTCTTGATGAAATTGTTAATTGCAATTTTAAGTGCTGATTTACCACATGCTCGGTGGTGAAGCATAACATAGTGAGGAACATGCACTGGGGCAGAGCGGTGAACACTTCCTTTCTCTAAAACCCTCTTACAAATTAGAAGAGGCCTTCTGGGCGCTAGTGGGATATTTACAGGCTGAACTTAACAGTCTTGTTTACAATGAGCATAGAAACTTTTTGGTAATAATACGTTTCATCTTCGTGCTCAGAGGTGACAGTGTATTTTCGATTTTGATCGACGAGAGATGTCGGTGTCTTATCTATGGGCTACGGCATCCTCTTACATTCACGTGTACTGTGTTTATGTGTACAAAAAAAACACTTTTATTGTATAAGAAGTAACTTTTTACGAAAATATTACAGGTATATTCCCTTTAGCTTTGGGGCTCTGTGTCATTGATACAGCAGATATGGCGGTAGCTGTGATCCTGAATAATATGGTGTATGTTATACGTACCACAAACGTAGCTTTATGTCTTGCACTTTTACAGTAAAACGCTATCTTGAAGCAATAAGATACCAACATTGCTAACGAAATCATTTTATGATGATTCTCGAAACCAGAAATGGTCGCTCTAAGGCGATATCCACAGTCGAAAACAGAATTGCCCTAATTGCAATATACAAGATATCCGCCGGCAGATTTTACTATTTAACTAATAAGATAAGCTAAAATTTAAATGCAATCAAATTTATTTACTAATTTTCTTATAGTGAAAATAGCGCGGATTTCATGTTTTAAAAAGGACACCACTTAAATGACACCCATTTAGCTCTATGCATTCTTGCAATCCTTACTTCATGTTGTCGAAGACTCGTTTGCAGAGTTTAGGTCTGATATTGGTGATTTCACGACGGATATTTTCCTGTAGAGCTCTTATTGTCGATGGCGAATTGCTATATACGCGAGACTTAAGGCATTCCCACAGGAAAAATCACATGGGGTTAGGTCCGGCGATCTAGGGGGCCAGTCGATGTCACCAAAGCAGCTTATTAGTTTTCCCGGGAAAATGCTCCTTATTTTTTCTCTTGAGACTTAAGCGGTATGAGCAGTGGCCCCATCCTGCTGGAAATGTGTTCTGTTATTGAAGCCAGCATAGTTACGTAGCTCCGGGATAAAAAAAAGTTGTCCAGCATGTCGCAGTGTTTTTCTGCAGTGACGATTTCATGTTCGCCAAAAAATAAGGGCGATAATGCCGTGACTGGAAATGGCACATGACGCTATTTTCGATCCAATATCGCATATTCCGTTTATTGACATATCCCCAAACGTGAAAATGCGCCTCGTCACTAAACAGTATGTTAGCTGAACGCGCATGAGTAGAAAATCATTCTAAAACGACCCTAGCGTAATTTTCTCTTCTTGTGTAATCATCTGCTTTCAGTTGTTGAACGATTTGCAGCTGATACGGATGGAACTTTAAGCGAGTCCGCAATATTTTATAAATGGACGTTTTTTTTCATGCCCACAGACGCTCCAACCTTGCAAAACAATATGCGTAAATTTCGCAAAATTTCTTCTCACACGCGACTCACGTTTTCAGGAATCTTTACAGACGTTGAAGGACCAGGCCTAGGCTTTCCAACTGTTCTGGTCTCTCTGAACTGCGGTGCTTATGCCCATATTAATTGATTCGAAGGGACATCCTTTTTGTTTTGCGAATATCAAACTGGGAACAAAAACGACGCCTTGCTTACGTTTACCGAATTATTATTTGTGAAATACGCCTCAACTGTAAAAGCGCGATACGTTACCTTTTACTGCCTCACGGTAATTAAATAACCCGCGAAATTCCCGCGTCGAACGATACCACGTTTCACTCCCTGCCGCAACACCTGTCCACGTAAAGCCGATTCAAAATTTAAAATCTGCCGGCGGACACCTGTATTAAGTCCAGGTTTTTCTGGTTTGTACGAACCTATGCTTCGCTAAAGTTGAAAAGCCGTTCTTAAGTACAAGAGAGCACATTAATGATGGTCAGATTGTAATTAACATACAAAGCACAGCAGTTTCAGCCAATTTTGCAACCAGCATTTAATTGTGAATTTTGGCAATATGTTATATGAAGTAAGGTTTAGTTGTTTTTTTTTAAATCCACTGCTTAACATGTACAGACCAGCAGCTCTCCAACTTTTCTTGGCACTAGACCCGTATGTAAGATGTAATTTAAGGTGTGTCTAAGTTTTTTATTTCTCGGCCGTGTGTTACGGGCCATTTCGCCACTAATATTGACTACGACGTATTCTCGTTGTCGAAATGATTTGTGTTGCTTTGATACTATCAAGATAGTATTCCTAAAAGCAATTTACAGCGGAATCGTTAAGGTGTGGCTTAAATAATAGAAGGATTTAAGATCGAGCGAAGATCTAGATGACCCTTCTAGTCTTTGTTATAATTGTGTAACATTACAATCTATTGTGAACATACTTTGTCCACAGAATACCAATACTCCATCTTACAATGTTTCACCTAGTTTCGGTAATGATGGTGACCAACAAGGGCTTTATAACTCGAACGATTCCCAATCCAATTTCATTTCTTACTCCGCTAAAAAGCCATTTTATCAATCTTACAACGTAAATCAAGACAGTTCAAGATATTTTCAAAAGAAAAATGATGAGCCACATACATCAGACAATCGTCAAAGCTTGGACATGCATACTCGTGACACCAGCGATCGCAGCAAACGAATGCCGTCTATAAGGAACGAACGGGAGACGTACGAGTCTCACAATCGTTCCAATACTTTGATTGGAAGACAATTTGACGATTGGAACCGTTCTGATGATTTTTCTAAACATTCGGATAGTTTTATTAGCTATCCTAGTTATAGAAATAATAAAAGCAGGGACAATTATAGTGACACAAATCAAAGACAGGTTGGAGATGTTTTTTCTAGACACTCGGATAATCGCAATAGCTATCCTAGTGATAGAAATAATAAACCCAGAGACAATTATGGTGACAGAAATCAAAGACAGGTTGGAGATGTATTTTCTAGACACTCTGATAATCGGAATAACTATCCTAGTGATAGAAATAATAAACCCAGAGACAATTATGGTGACAGAAATCAAAGACAGGTTTCTAATTACAAGGAAGGAGTGGGTGGCAATGTCGTGGGTAAGAACTATTCACAACATTCAAATAGTGCTTATACAGGTGGTGACTTTAATCGTCCCAATAACCTGAATCCTAGTGAGACTGATAATAATTCCTTTTTTAATCAGAGTAACTTAAGAGGCAAAAACGAATTTGCCCAATCGTACAAAGCAGGCCCCAGAGGTATCGCATCTGACCAAGGCTTCAGAACCCGTAATGTCGAAATAAATAAAAAACAAAACCAACAACAGTTTCCTTATAGTCGAGGGAATGATTTTAAGGAATCACGTAAAGCGATGAATGCGCAACCACCGCAGTATCAAAAAAATAAGGTGGCTCTTGAGGCGCCTAATACAGATTTAATGTCTAAAAAGAAAAATAAATCGGCTCTCACCCCGGATGAACTGAGTGAAAAACACAGGGATCAAAGTTGGCGTGGTCAAGCTGTCGCTGCTATAGCAAAAAGATTATTAATGAAATATGGTAAAACACGTTTCTTCGCTAAGCAGCCGAAGTTCATACATTATTTGAAGCCTTATATCAAGACTCGAGTTAATGAGATATTGGGCAAGAGAGTGGCTGTGCATTTCGAGCAAATTATAGATGAATATAATCAAAGATATCCTCTGAATACCCAACAAGCTTTTCTAAATGACATAAAAAAGCAGTTTCAAAGGCAAGGACATCAAGTACACGTTAGTGGAGGTGTTGTTAAAGCATCAGGTAAGGTGATATTAATTTTCATCTGATTCTAGATTAATTTTTTTTTGATTGACTGAAGACCTAAAGTTTATAAGACCTTTACTGGTCGGGGTGTATCAATCAAGCAATGGTGTTTTTAATAAAACACAACTGTTTTATGAATGAACAACCGCTCATTCATCATTTAAACTACAATAATGTCAAAACTTATAGGGTGTCAGGAATGCTTCGACACATACTACAGAAAATGTGTTCAGCAGTCAAACGACGGGAACGCAGTTTGAATGAGTGTTTAATACACATTTCTGTAGTTTTGATCCATGATGTAACCATGGACTGCCTTAATCATAATCAGGTGGAATGTTGGAGTATTTGTCACTCTAATATATTACAAAAGAAAACATTCTACTAATAATAAAGTTAACGGTGGTAGAGCCACACGGCAGTTTTTGCTGTTGCACGTATGGGCCGGCTCGAGCCGGGTTGGTACCACGACCTCACAGAATACCGGCGTGAAGTAGAAGCTCTGCTTCTGCGTTTCGTCTGGTGAGTGCAGGTGGCCGGAGGCTCAAACCCCCCCCCCCCCCCCCCCCATCATACATGGTAGCGGAATTACACCAAATACTACCCTAGGAGAGTACCAGCACCCCTGGAGAATCCCTCGCTGAGCATCCACGACCATGTTATTCCACTCATGAGCGTGGGTGCTCAGGCTGCCCCACGTATTCTGGGGGGGGGCAAAATTCCGCTCAAAAACATAACTGCTCAGGGCAAATTGAGCAACAATACCAAGGCGACCCCTGCCGCGCTATCCGTGAATTTCAGCAACATCAGGGGACTTTACTCGAACCTAAAGCACTACCATCTCGAGACGGCGAAGCCGGCCTTGCTCTTTCTGACCGAGACGCAGGTGTCCTCTCCGGCTGATACTTCGTATCTCTTCGACCCGGGGTACAAATTGGAGCACTCCTTTGTGCCTCGGGCTGGATTTTGCGTATATGTCAGAGAGGACATCTGTTCTCGACGCCTCGGCAGTCTTGAAGGTTCGGACCTGTCCATCCTTTGGCTACGCGTAGACAGCGACGACCATCCGCGCGTCTACGGGTGCCTCTATAGGTCCCAAAGCGATAATGCCGAAACAGACCGACTCATCGACCACGTCCAAATGGCTACAGATTCCTTGCTACAACAGCTCCCATCCGCAGAGATCGTGATCCTTAGCGATTTTAACGCCCACCACGCCGAATGGCTCGGTTCACGTTTAACCGATCATGCGGGGAGATGTGTTTATGACTTTGCCTTGACATATGGTCTGACACAACTGGTTACTTCGCCTACGCGGATTTCAGATGTGGAGGATCATACACCTTCCCTGTTGGACCTTCTGCTGACCTCTCATCCGGACGGATATCAGGTTTCCGTCGATGCCTCTTGGCTCTGCGGACCATTCTCTGATCCGGAGTGTGGTGCCACTCACGCTCCCCTCGCGGTTGCGTTCTGCAGGTTGCCGCCGTGTTTGGCATTACAGGTCGGCGCATTGGGACGGAATGCGGTCTTTCTTTGCATCCTACCCATGGGGGCGGGTTTGCTACTCGCCGGATGATCCCAGCGCTGTTGCTGACTCTGTCATTGATGTGGTGCTACAGGGAATGGAACTTTTTATTCCATCATCTGTGAAATGTGAAAAGGAATGTTGCACTAAGTACAGTGTGATTTACAATCTGGGGCTTATCACTTACTATCAGGTAGGATTGTAGTCAAGCATTGGCTTACAATAAGTACAGGAGGTAATGTTATGACGACGTAACACCTATTCTAGTGTTTGTCATTATATTATTACCCTAAAATGTACTGCCATCCCTATTGACAGCCACGAAGAACTGCACTAGAATCGGGTTATTTCAAGCATTTGAGTGCTTGAAATAACCGTGGTTGTGTAGAGCTGTCCATATAACCTCGCAACTCACCTCCTGCCTCAGTAAACTTTCTGGCAGACATCATAGCAAAGACTTTGTTTCCTTGGTTCCGTTCAGTCATTCCTACAATACTGGACATCTGTGTATACACAGGTCTGCGTCTCCGCTGCGGGTCTTGCTAATTCAAGTGTATGGAAAGTTTCCATTCACTGGAAAGATGTATAAGATAGAGAGTTAACTTTTTAAACCTCTCCATCTCAACGCTTATGCCCAATGTGTATCTAATCGTCTAGTATTGCTGCAGTTTTTGATTCTTGTGATCAAAAATGTCTTATCCAATACTGAAGTAAATTTCACTTTATTTGGGTACGGTAGCAGAGATAATACATAACCAAACGTATGCCACTTTTCCTTCCACAGTTCATTGGATCTCTTTTTATTAAGACAGCTGCTGCCTTTTTGGATTTTGGTACCCTGTTACAAATTTCTCTACTCTCGTTTACGTTTTTCTTTTAACTATTTTTGAATCGAAGTCTCTCATATTCAAGTATACCAAACACCTAGTCAGTTTGGACTTTTGAGTGCTGCATGAGATCTGGTGAATGGGTTTCTTAGAAAGAATACCCCATGGCTGTAGAACAACTTATTAAGAAGCAACTGAAAAATTTCGGAGCTTTATACGTGGCTTCATAAAGCAAGAGTGAGATGTTTAGCCAAATTTTATGCATTTAAATTGTAGGTGTTTTGAATTCCTTGAATATACTGACTGGTAGTAGGAAGTCGTGTGAGACTTCTAGTATTGCTGTTGTCAGTCCACTGTGTGTGTTAACAATGTGATTGTAGCAAATCTAACAGATACCTATGACCTATGGTATCTGACCCTTGTATCTTACTCTGCATCTCTACCATCCACTGATGGTATTACCTTATACTTTCCCTCTCTTCGAGGAAAGTAACCTAAGAGATGCAACCAACTCACTAACAGATGTTAGCATGGCACTAACGATGTAGTGTGATGTACAATTAAAATATTTACCTCTTCTAACAATTGTTAAAAAATTATTCAAATCTATTCTACTCTCGTTATATATTACTCCCAATAAATCATGTTCATTAGTTTAAAACTTCCATATTAAAAAATAGTTTTTTTTTGGATAAAGAAATAAAGTTAAGTTTGCAAATCAATTTTTCCGTCTGTATACAATATCTTTAAGAGGAATGTAAATAGGATAATATTTTAAATGCAGAACTGCATCAATTACCTGTGCCTTAAAATATTTAACTTGTGTCGGTCAGTGTTTGTGTGTGTTTTTTTAATTACATTCATTTGTTAGCATTAATTTTGATACCTTTAGTTGTCAAAATTTAAACCAGTCCATTAAAATTTTTAAGTGTCTCCTACGAGGCTTTATGCAGTCTGGCCAATTACATAAATATGAAATAAAAAAAAATAAGTATATGAGCACTAAAAATTATAACAGTACAATGAAGACTGTTAACGTACACTATACGCACTGGCACTGGGGTTTGTATTCGTGTTACCGATTTGTTGAATATCAACAAATTGTAGTTATATGTCATTTACCTAATCGAATTCTTGTTTAATGACATTATTCCTTAAATTTAATCTCTTAAACTCATGCTATTTTTAACACGTGACATAATCATTATTAAATTTATGGGAAAATTTGAAAGAAAACCATAATGGCTAGGTTTAAGTCGCGTTAGTCAATACAATGATCCTGGTGATGAAATAACAACTGTTAGGCTCAGCACTTGTTCCAATAAAATGCCTTTTATTTAAAAAGTGTCATGATATTTCGCAGGAAGTGCAACTGTTGTAAATAAAGGCATTAAGCGCGCTGCAAACGATGACGGAAACTTAAATCCAGCAAAGATATCTAAAAAGCAATCAGAATCACATCCTTCTAATGTACCACTGAAACAACCGCTTTCTACTTCAGAGCGACTTCCTAAATATCCGGGTGGTGGTAAGTAATGATAATTTTTTTTAGCAATAAAGGTGAGAAATGAGCACACAATCCACCTGATGGTAAGTGGATGCTGTGGCCCATAGCCATCAACAATTATCCTCGATTAAGAATCAAAATGCAGATGCGTTTTCACCACTGAAGACTAAGCCGCGGCGCCCACCTAAGCTACATGATTTCGACATGGCTTGTAGCATGATTCTGACGGTGTTCTGACGTGACCACGGGTGACACTGCTTGCACCGACCTATGCAACCATAGCATGTCCCAGAATTCAGTTTGAGCGAAAATGTCATCTGAAGAGGATAAACATGCCCTTGCTTTGCTACAGATTTCAAACATTCAAAGTGCCAGCAGAAGATTTTGGGCACATCATTTGAGGAAAGAAATTGAAAAGTGGTGGTTCTTTCAATTTGAAATGAAGGCATTAGAATTATATTTTGCATAGAAATGCACTACAAGTTGCAAGAATCATCTTGCGAGTTCCTGTTACTGTAAACGGGTCTAGTATAATCATATAAACTTGGACTTTCATGAACTAACTCAATGAATTTAATATTAAAAGCTAGGTCGCCTTTCATTTTGCATAGATAAGTCACTACAAGTTTCGTGTTACGCGCCACTTCAACGCGTCACTACTAGCGACTAATGGCACGTCAGGTCATGCGGCGTCACGCCACGCGAATGGGCGGTGTTACATACAATCCCTTTGAATGTTGAGGCGAGTGACAAGTTACGCGTCAAATCACGCGTCAGATCACGTGTTACGTTACGTAGGTGGGCGCCGCGCTTTAGATGGAATGCCTCGTTTCTCTTCCTTCCCCGGTCGAACCCAGCCATTCGTGCTACAACCATAATATAGCTGCAGCATGGCTCTACCACATTCAAATTTATTAAAGAAAAACGATTTAACAGCAGCGATCAATTTCACTGCTATAAAAATGACACATACATCAAAATACGCACACTGTTTTCCTTTGCGAGCGTCGTTTTGGTATTATTAACCTTAATGTGGTCACTCTGGAGATGAATCTTATTATAATTTAACAACTTGTCGACCTTAAAAATATGTCAAGCCATTTATACTGTACGATGTCATAAATACAAGTGGTAAAAATATAAAAAATATACAACCGACAACATTAATAAAATGAGAATGTTATCAATGTAGTTGAAATCAATTAAATACGCATTATTAAGGGCAACTCAAAAAAACTACTGGTCAGGTCTTGATCTAATTTATATGGGACCACGTGAGAAGCTTTCAAATAAGAAAATAATCATTCAAATCGGTTCGCCAAGAAAAAGTTGTGAGGTAACAAACAAAAAAAATACAGTCTTTTTTGTAGTCTGTTGAAATAAATACTAAGAGATTTTACGACCTCCAGCCTCCAGCACTTAAATTTGTAATTACCAATTTCAATGGAACAAAGCTAGCAAAAAAAACTGGAGAAAGAAATACCAGATGTCTGTGGAGCTTTTTTGCTTTTTTTTTCTTGGGAACGATTGGGAAAAATTATCGTTACTAATTTTTGTTGTATACAATTAATTGTTGGTTTTTAAATCATTCTCAACATCTTAAATGGTAAATAATTAATATTTCATAGATTTTTTTATTTGTTTCAGATAAAAAGGAACATAACAGTAAGTTGTTAGCTGTAAGAAATTGAAAATATTATCTCAAACCACTGGTTAAAAGATAACACTGCCAGCTATTGCATCAAGTATTTTTACCCTTAAACATTTTTTCTCAAGATAAGTCATTAAAAATATTGGATTGATAATTGTGGTTATGCAATAGAGCTCATCAAGTTATTATTTTAGCTTGTTTAACATTGAAATTTACGTAACATTTTAATTTTAGAACTCAAACGTATGATGAAGTTTGGCCAAGTAGATATTGGGGACGTTTTCAAAATGGATCCTCAGTTGAAGAAAGTGCGTGACGATGAGATTGATGCACTATGTAACTTGGTAAGATTTGATTTTGAAATGTCGCCGTAATAATATTGAATCATAATTTATTCAATTCTGATATTTTCTAGGTTTATTATTTCAGCTATCACTCGCTAGTGTTAAATTTTACGTGTAATCTATTACAGTTCCTTGACGAATGTAAGAAACCCGCAAACCAAAATGAAGCAAAGGTCTGCAAACGTATAATGAATGGTGTGGAAACTTTGAGAAACGTAAGTTTTTTACTCTCCTATTCAGAAAATGGTTATAAATTACACACAAAAAATAAGAAACTAGTTTTCTTATGTAAATGTGCTATACATTATATTATTATAGAATGTCTAGAATCCACTGCTGAACATTGTTGTCCTCCCCCTCAGGGAACCTTATGCATAAGTAAATTCACTACTCCATATCATCCTTTGGGTGCCGTAACAAGCGACAGAGACAAATGAAGGACAGCAGTGATAAACTACAGCAGGTATCCCCCATATGAGGCAATCCATGAGGAAGCCTACGTTTAGCAGTGTACCTAATGGCGAGGCTGTAATTATGATGATTTTTTTATAGGGTACGGTGACAAACGAGCACACAGTCCACCTGATGGTAAGTGGTTGCTGTGACCCATAGACATCTACATTTATCCTCAATAAAGAATCAAAAAACAGGTGCGTTGTCACCCGTGAGGACTAAGATGGAATGCCTCTTTTCCAGTAAAATGGGTCTCCGGTTCTCTACACTCACCATACGAAACACAGCAGCGTTAAGCTGCTATTTTACGCTGGTATTCTGTGAGAGCGTAGTCCCTCCCCGGTCGAGCCGACCCATTATAACAAATAAGAACAGTTTTAAGAGAAAATACAAATAGTATTTATTAAGTACGCAGAAAATGTCATAAATATAAAAAAAATCGGCAGGGGCTGAGTATCCCATATTTAGTTATATTCAATTATGTAACTTACATTTACTACCAATATTCTTTTTAATAACCATTACGATGTTCTAGCATAATTATTATAATTAGTCTGAATAAATAAAACACTACTGTAGCTCTTACTTTTAATATTATTTTTTTTCATATGTTTTTGTTTATATTTTGTTTATATTATGTTTATCTTTTGTACATGAATATTAATTATCAATTTATTAATAGAAATAATATGAAAACTTGTACTGGTTAATTAAATAGTTCTTGTACTGGCTGAATGAATAAATAAATATTTTAACACTAAAAGCTATTTGTAATATAATCAGTGATGTACGCGTACTGATATACTTTAGCTCACTAAGTAAGTATATTATGGGTGCTGACAGAATAACAGCGTTGTAGATTCTCTGCAACACATGCTGAGTCAGAACCCTTTCATTGTCCTTCTAAAAATATCATTTTTGTATTAGTTTAACTTTTAAATATTTTATTACTTTGGTCAATGAATAAATATTTTATTATTATTATGGGGGTTATCTATAAAGTTTTCTCATCTGGTTGGGCTGTTTAAATATATAATTGTAAACGAAATATATAAACATACATAAATATCAATAAAATAGAATAAATACATAAAAAATACATAAATATATAAAAAACCCAACCAGATATTAAAAAATAGAATAAATACATAAAAAATACATAAATATATAAAAAACCCAACCAGATGGAAGCCCTCGGCAGGGGAGACCAAACGGCCGAGGGTTAGGGGGAAAGGGAAAGAAACCGGCGGACGATGCGGGCGATATCGAGGAGCACCGCCTTCTGCATTTGAGCTTGGAGCGGTCCGTCACGGAGTCCCAGTCGCCTCAGATGACCCGAGAGGCTAACTGGGATTAACCCGTTCGCAGAAACAACCACAGGAATAATTTCGGCCGGCAGACCACCCCACATGTCGATTACCTCGTGAGCTAGGTCCAGATATTTTGTCAGCTTATCTGTTTCGGCTTTCACGAGGATCTCGTCATAAGGAATGGTAATGTCGACCAAAAATATCCTTGACTGTGCCCGGTCCATCAGCACAATATCAGGCTTATTCGCAAGAATAGTCCTGTCTGTGATGATGGCCCAGTCCCAGTAGAGCCTGGCGCGGTCATTTTCGAGCACGGCTTCCGGCAAGTACTTATAATATGGCAGTTTCCGATCCACGAGACTGTATTTCAGAGCGAGCTCCTGGTGTAGAATCCTGGCTACTAGGTTGTGTCTGTGCAAATACTCAGAGTTAGAAAGCGCCGAACAACCGGAGATGACATGCCAAGTGACTCACCGGGATGGCGACAAGCTCGACAGATGTCGACGGTGCCATCCTTGAGGATGTATCTCCGATAATTGTTGGTCTTAATAACCTGATCCTGTATTGCACAGACAAAACCCTCAGTTTCCCCAAAGAGGTCACTGAAACGTAGCCAGTGGAGGGAGGCGACTGTGTCTACGAAAGGCTCATGAACGGCCTTGTAGAACCTCCCGTGGAGCTCCTTCTCCTTCCATACGGTCTCCCGGTCGGAAATGCTCTGTACTGCCGGGTCTTGCCATTGCTCGTTGGCTAAGGATAGAGGGGTTAGCCCTTTATCACAAGAAATAACGTCCCTATGGTATGGATCATCCGCTCTCGTCAGAAAGTAATTACGGAGGCTGCACACTTCGCGATTATGCATGATAAGCGCGCTTAAAAAGCCGCGCCCACCATGCTTCCGCGGCAAGTACAGCCTCATTACTGACGATCTCGGATGATGCATCTTGTGGGACGTCATTATAGTGCGGACTTTTCTGTCCAGAGCGTTCAGTTCGGTCTGAGTCCACCTGAGAACAGGCATGATCCAACCGTTATATGCGTGCGTCTTATTCACAACGGACAAAAGGCTATTAAGTACTTTGGTCAAGCGTGCATAAAACACATCGCAAACTGACCGTTTAATACACGACTCATCTACACCGATGTTCTGTGACATACCCAAGTATCGGTATGTTTCAGCCTCGGAAAGGGTCCTTATGCTGATGGGCATAGATAAGTCTATGCCCTCAGAGTTAGCAACCCTTCCCCTTTTGACATGGAGGATCGCACACTTATCCGTCCCCAGCTCCATTCTAATAGAATTGCTAAAATCACAAGTGATGTTTAGCAATTCCATAAGATGAGAGCGACTGGAGGCGAATAATTTGAGATCATCCATATAGAAAAGGTGGGTCACTTTTGTACCTCCTCTCCGAAGCTGAAATCCCCTCCCGGAGCCCTCCAGTAAGGTACTGAGAGGGTTCAGAGAGAGGCAGAACCAGATTGGACTCAAACGATCGCCCTGGAAGATACCCCTTCTTATCCTTATGTGGTTCTCCGCAGCCGTCATCCGCTCGCCTAGATGACAAAGGATCGTACTCCACTGCCCCATACACTGCCCGAGGAAGTCTCGAACTGTACAGTCAACCTTGTACAGCTCGAGGACCCTCTTCAGGCATGTATGAGGCACCGAGTCGAATGCCTTTTTGTAGTCTATCCAGGCGGCGGAGAGGTTCCGACGGTTGCGTTTAACCACCTTGCCAATGACCGCGTCAATGAGGAGTGGTTCCTTGGTTCCACGACCACCGCCCCGACATCCATTTTAAGCGCGCGACATCACCTGGTTTGAGTTCAGGTGACGAATGATTCTCGCGCTCAAAATGGATGTTAGTGTCTTGTATATGGTAAGTAGACACGTTATGGGGCGGTATTTGCTCGGGTCTGTGGAATCTCGGTCTTTAGGAAGCAAATGAGTGATCCCAGTAGTGAAGAGGCTCAGGAGCGACTTTTGGTCGAGAGCCTCTTGAAACTGTCGGGCGAGCACAGCGTGACACACCATGAACCCCTTCAGCCAGTAGTGATGCAGTCCGTCGAGTCCCGGACTTTTCCAATTCGGGGCCCTACGGACCGCCTCAGCTACGTCATCCGACGTTATGATGACGGGGTCCATGGGCGTAACATTCGCACACTGACTCGCCACAACTTCCGTCCAAGGGCCCTCACTGTGGTTTACGGGCTCTGACCACAGGCCGCGCCAGAATGCGATAGTGTCGGCCTGATTCGGTGCTGGGCCCGTTCCACGTACCATTGGTCGCTCCAATGATTCATAGAGCCTCTTCTGATCACTCTGGAAGAGACGATTCTGGTTGAACCGTGTCGACCTCTCGGTATATCGCCGAATCCGCTTCCCCCAAGCAGCGATTCTCTGCTTCAGGTCGTCTATGCGCTCCGTCAGTTTTTGCGTTATATCCGGCTGGGACAAACTGATTATGTCCCAGCAAACGCCATCCTGACGGTGCGCTCAATTCTCGGCCTATTATTGCCCGACCTGAAGCTTATCAGCCTGCCGATGAGGGCCCTTGCCTTTGCGATACGGTCCTCAATCCTTCTTCTCCAGGCTGGGATGGCGCTACTTTGTCTAGTAGCGCGTCCAGCCTTGGGAAGTTTGGCGCCAATAATACGGCAAACTGCCAGTGCGGCGCCAAAAAGAATTGAGTCCGTCTCGCAAAGGTCCCGGCTGGCTTCCAAATAGGTCACCAGCATTGGGTTGAGAGCCCTCACGACAGCCCGATTCCGCTTGCTATACGGGGAAGTCGCGGTCGATTCTCGAGAGGCGTACTGCGCGTTTCCCTAATCGCCTCTTCCACTATGCTCCTCATTTGCTCTAGTTCTGGGGCGACTATTCCATCGTCGCCTGAGTCAACTACAAGGAGATCTACGGCGGCATCTACACATGCGGGTTGCTCTGCAACTCGTAGAGCCGCATCTCCTGTCGTAGCATTTTCATTCGACAAAGGAATAGCCTCACGTCGTAGCCGTTCGAGTTCGGCGTCATCAAATATTTTTGAGCGCATGATGTACCGAACTCGGTCTGCCAGGTTTTGCTCGGTAACGGTAATAGATGGCTCCAGCTCAGCAAATAGTCGGTGCATCCTAGCCCGATACCCAAAACCTCCAATTTCTCTCCCTTTCGCCCCAAAATACGCCCGCAATGCATTTTTATTCATTTGCATTGACCAACGCATGCGGCGTACTCCACCAGTGGCGGGTGCTGATTGCTGGGCCAACGAAGACCCTGCCAACACCAAGCCAGCTGGTGGGGATGATGGATGCGAGGGGCTGCTGGGTGATCGTGCAGCACCTCGCGATCGACTGGCGGTTCGCATACTGCCGCGTCCAGCGCCAGCTCCAGACGCGCCCTGGCGACCTCCAAGCAGCGGCCCTTTGCGCGTATTTCTTAAATCCATCATCCATGAATTGGGCGTCAGTTAACGGGAGACGCCCAGACCCGGCACCGTTTCATGGTGAGGCTATGTGCAATCGGGCCTTTGCACCTCCAATTTTGCCGAGGCACGGCGCTAACACCTCTTGGCAAGGTGCTGACTGACTGCGCTGACGTAGCAGTTTTGTCACATAACCGTTATTATTGTTAATATTGTTATTATTATTATTATTATTATTATTATTCGTGCTACAACTATACTACTAATATAGCTGCAGCATGGCTCTGCCACGTATATGAAATATATTCCGGGGCCAAACGCGGCCGCTCCGCTTACCATTAAAGTCGCTACTGGATATTGCCCAATATCTTATTATATCACTAATCTATTAAGTCTATTAAATCGAATCTATTAAGATTCTTCGTCAATTAATTGCACTCTAATAATTATATTAGAGTGCGATGAACAGACAAAAAAATATTTTTTTGATTCTTTGTCAAATTCGTGGTGTTTACAGCAACAATATCATTGTTTATATAAAAATAATTTTGGTTATACAATTCTTTACAATATTTTTAATATAATTTGCAGGAACTAAGAATAAGCATCACCAAGCGTGTTCTGAATATCACACAGAACATCCCATTACGGATATACACAAACCAAAAAATAAAATCAGTTGAGATAGACAATCACCTTAAGAAGTTGGGAATTGTTAGTCTTAGGAAAGCTAGAGGCAGAAAATTGTATATAGGCATGTGTACTTCCTTTAACACACATGACAAACTTTGCGATATGGGGAGATTGGAAATAGGTAAGTGCCATTTTTAGATTTTTACATACAGGGTTATTTTGCAATAATCGGCCAAATTTGCAGAGAAGGTTAAGAATAAGTAATATAGGCAAATGGTGAAGAAAACTGAATTAAAAAATATCTCAAACATTCTATCCTTTTTATCTTTTAAATTAAAATGCGTGGTAATACATTATTTTAACTGATTTTACTGTGCACGCATATGTACAGTAGGCGCGCGAGTTCATGTCCATCCTAAGGATTACGGCAGTGCTGTGACCTAATCAATTATGGTAATGTCGATAATTACTACCGATATGGTCAACAGCTGTCAATTTGGTATTAATTTGTAACTTAAGGTAATTTTGCAAATTATAAAATGAATATGATAATTACTTACTTGTATATTGCTAATAGAGAATTTTTTTTAATGCAATTTAATCACTATCAGATGCAAAGACAACCGACAGAGTTGGAATCAGTATCTTCGCCGTCGCTGACTTCAATTACGAATTTTGTCGATCGTGTTTTCCAATAGTCCGTCTTTATGCCAGTAATGCTCTTCCAAAATTATAACGTGATCATCAAATCTACACCAATGTATTTCTGTCACCTGGTTTATAGCCATCTCCGTTACTTCTTTCAATCTTGTTAGGGATAAATCTGAGTTAACGTCGTACTCCCTCACTACTCTCTTGATTTTTGCACATGCTAACTCAATTGGGTTTAAGTCGCACATGTACAGTGGCAATCTTAAAACCTCATGTCCGTGAGTACGGATGAGCTGGTCCATTTTAAAAGTTTTCTCTTGGGGTGCATGCAGTTTTATGAAATCAAAAAGCTCGCCTTTTCTCATGCTTAGTAAAGCCTCTACATTATTTCTAGTAAGCCAGTCTAACGTAACCGTTTTAGTGCTTGATTTTGTAGGAACTTTATTTTCCTGAACACTGTGATATGGTGCGTTGTTCATAACGACAACGCTGGATGGTGGCAAATTGGGAATGAACGTGTCAGTTACCCGTTTCCCAAAGTTCGTACTATTCATTTGCCCATGGTAATCGCCTGTTTGAACCAGCTTTGAAAAGAAACTTTGCGCCATCCAAAAAACCACGTCTGGATCCGGCGTGAACGAGATTCAGCCTGTTCGTGGAGCTGGTGTCAGTCAGTATCGCGTCTATATAATCGTTTCTCCAACACTTTTTAAATGTGAGGTTATTGTCAACCCACGTTTCGTCTAAAAAGAAAATATCGCGATCATTTTCTCTATATTGACGAATTTTTTGCAAATACATTTAACAGTGGTAGAGCCACGCGGCAGCTTTTGCTGTCGCACGGATGGGCCGGCTCGAACCGGGGTGGTACCACGACCTCACAGAATACCAGCGTGAAGTAGAAGTTTACCTCTGCGTTTCGCTTGGTGAGTGCAGGTGGCCGGAGGCTCTTTTTACTGGAAATGAGGCATTCCATCTTAGTCCTCACGGGTGACAACGCATCTGCATTTTGATTCGCAAACGAGGATAGATGTAGATGTCTATGGGCCGCAGCAGCCACTTACCATCAGGTGGACTGTGTGCTCGTTTGTCACACTTAACCTATAAAAAAAAAATTTGACCACGTAAATACAACAGCTGTTCTTTCTACCAAAAGCCTTCGCTTATTGTGACATTTTTGCCATTTATAACCCATTTCCTTTAGTAGTTTTCGTAAACTTGTAGTCCCCCAGGGAAAATCATTTTTTTCCCCGATAGCCGCCAGAAGTTTGGGACAAGTGGAAACAATTTTTTTTGTCAAATAAAATTCTTCTATATATCTGTGTATTACACTTCTATCGAAATCATCTACATTTAAATTCCCCATTTTATTACACGATTTCCCTTTTTAGAAGGGGAATGGAGAGGTCCATTTTTTGCTTCTGTTTGAATTCTAGACAATGTTCTTTTAGTAAGTCCAGTATCGTTACACTGCCGGGCTGCTCGATCTAAAGCATTGTTAACCAGAAAAGTGAATTCATTCTCTTTTTTCTCTTTGACACATCTGTAGGACGTTTCTCGCCATTTCACGTGCTTGCTTATGTATTATAAAAAGTTTTTTTCTACCTGAACTTGCTGGAAGCGGTGTAGTCATGGTTTATCCACAATAAAATAACACAATTGGGACTAATTTACGGTATCGATAAGCGCGCGTCACAACCGTCAAGGACAACACTCACAGCAGACAAATGCGGCGACGGCGAGGCGGGGAGGCGGGGGAGGCGGGCCGAGTTCCCCGCGCGTTGCCTCTGGCCCCGATAGACATGAGCTCGCGCGCGTACTGCACATTCGGGTTGATCGCTAGGCAAAAACTTTGTTTCCCATAAATCACATTCAATTTGGGATAATCTATACAAATAAATAAAAATGAAATGTCTGTTTGTAATGTACTTGTAACAAAAATACAAATTTTGAAATTTTTGTATGTCTGTCTGTCTGTTTGTTCCGGCTAATCTTCGAAGCGGCTGGACCGATTATGACGTGACTTTCACTGGCAGATAACTAAAGTTATAAGGAGTAACTTTGACTAATTTTATTTTAGAAAAGGAATTAGGGTTCCGCGCAAAAAAAATTAAAACCCATAAAATCCAATCGTAATAAATTCCACGCGGGCGACGTCGCAGGGAACAGTTAGTTACAAATAAACAACAGCGGTTTATCATTATTTATATTTTTTTTTCTTTAAAAATATTAGTAATGCTATTAAACATTACTAATATTCTCTTTAACCACTTCTGCAAAGCTTAAAATACTTGTGTTAGAAGTGGTTCACGACAGTAGTCGAATAACGGATTCGAACCCACGACCTTTCGAGATCGCGGTACGCGTCCTGCCATTAGGCTACTGACACTTTTTTTGTATTTTTTATATATTTGAACTTAATTTTAAAATTTGGTTACTCTTTTAAAAATAACCCTGTATGTTTCCCAATTATTTTATTACAAGGCAGTGCTTGACTACAATTCCACCTTTTGGCAAGTGATGATAAAGCCCCAGATGGTAAATCGCACTGTCTCAGCGTTACAAAAGTCTATTCACTCTCGCCTTAAAGACGCTCATTTGCATTTGGACAAAAAGGCAGACGCCGGCAAATTGTTCCACTCCAAAGACGAAGCAAACCGTTTGGTTCGAATGCGCGAATATCGACAACAACAGTGTGAAAATCAGCCCACCGCCTCGTTGGCCATAGGTGGAAAAGGAAGGAAGGAATTAAGGAATGCAATTTCTGTACACGCTATTAGAAGTTTTTAGTTGTACACTTGGCAAGTGATCACACATTGAAAACAGCTTATTAAGTTCCTTAAGCAATATTACTTATCTCTACTCTGTGCTACTGTTTGACCACAGACTAATTTGTGTTTGACAATTGAAATTGGTAGTATGAATGTAAATAATGAAAATTTTATTTCATTTAATGTATTATATATAAATTTTATCGTTTTCTCCATATAAACTTTAACTATATCAGATCTCACTATTATACTACTCGTATATACACTATTTAGCATCATGCTCTTCTCAGTTCTGAAAATATCTCAAAAGCGTAAGTAGACATATAAATAAAAATGTAAATGTTCGTTTGGTCAAAATCTTACATTTTCTTTACCGATTACTTCAAAATTTTGACATAAAGTTACATTCTAATACGCGCTTTTTACATGCTGTTTGAAAAATTTTATTCTACAGCAACGCGTGGTTATTAATAAATAAAAGGCTAGTCGCAAAATTACCGTACCCGTTTTAGTTCTTTATTAGAAATTCTACAAATTGTTTTTGTTAACATATCTGGGACGGTCTTAATTTCACTTATATGTGTGCGTTAAGAATACAAATATGTTTAATGTGTAGTTTTACTAACCCACTCTGAATCAGTATGGGCCTTATTTGTTCCAATGCAATGGTCATCCCAAAAGAGGTTAGGCACTCTTTAGTCATGTATTACACTGGCAAGTTATAAATCATCATAAAGGCTAGAATCTTTACCTTTACAAAAGTACATCACAAAGTAAATCATAAAGGTTTGGGGACTGATAAATTTTGAAATTGTAAACTTATCAAATATTTTTATATGCTCTGTTGACGAAACTTTTGCGCGATGATTATAAAAAAGGACTTAAGTCCTAAAAATATATTTATTTAAATTTATTTGCCTTATATGCGCTTAGATGGATGGCAACCGAAGTTTTTTTTATAGTTTTAAGTTATAACCAGGAAGATGTTGCCTATCTCCTGATGGAGATAGTGGATTCTCTTACGCTGCCCTACGCGGCGGTTAAAAGTGTGGTTAGAGATATTTTTCAAAATCTATACTAGTTATAAAGAGTAATTATTTTCATTTTGGAGTGTCTTAGCTTCTTTTGACATGAGCCTCGTACTGTCTTGTGATAAAACTCCAGTTTCGTAAGCGTTTTAAAAAAGTTGTTTGTAAAATCTGATATATGATAATGAATGATAATGATTACTAATTTTATTTATTTTTAACATTACAGGTGGCGTCACTTTATTATTCCGACCAATGAACAGCGGCGGTAAGAAGGTAAAAGGTAACATAGAAAATGACGGTAATAAAAAAGGCGCTGGTGATTTTGATCAAGATAATACAGATGATATTGAAGATTTTGGTGATGAGGATATTGGTTACGATGAGGACGATTACGACGAGGAGCATAGTGATGATAACGATGTTATCGAACTGCAAAGCGATGATAATAATGATGTTGAAATAATAGACGATAAGCCCGCCGTCATATGCGTTGATGACGATAAAACAAATGTTGAAAACAAAAACACTGATGGGGCTAAAAGTGAAATATCACAGACTAAGGATGAAACGTCTAAATCAGAAAAAATATCCGTAATTAATGTAATAAATAACTCCGATAAAGCCAATGATAACAAAATACAGAAATCTGAAACTGAAAATCTCCTTAAGGATATTCAAACATTGGCAGATTGCATTAGCAATGAAGAAAATGTGAACGGTGTTAATGTAAATACAGATAACAACTCTACAGAAAAAACTAACGATAACCCTATTGCAGTAGATGTAGAAGAAACTAAAGCAAACTATGAAGACTTCGATATTGATGTCACAAATATCACACAAGATGATTTAGAAGATTTTTGATTGCTCTAAAAATAGTGATGACAATTTAATTATTACAGATTACTTATAGATTTTCTCTTTGTCTTTGTAGTTTTTGCGTAAAAACTAATAATTAAGCTTAAAATACATATTATAGTTATTAGTGCAAATTAATTGCAAATTAAGATTTTTTTGCATTCTGCAATATATAAAAATTAAAATAAAGTATTACCTCTTAACCGATAGTTTCATTCGTGTTTTTGTTGACAATCAGATATTCTTAAAAGTTACTCAAAATTGACTGACACACTATTTGTACTTTTTTGTGGTAGTCTGATGCCTCCTCTACACTACTCGCGAAGTAGATCGAAGTTGGACGAGGCGAATAGTGTAGAGAGGTACTTCGATTCGCTTCGTCCAACCTTGCTTCGCCTCGGGGGACTTCCGATCGCTGTCGGTTTTTTGCGCCAGAATCTTCGCGAAATACCCCGAAGTTACACGAAGCGTTTCACTAAACTACTCGGCGTACGCCAGTTATGAATATTTTTTATATATAAATATTAAATATGTAGCTTTCTACATAATTATTTATTTAGTTAACGCATTGACGTCGTACTGTTCACACAATTAGGTACCTATAGCACTGTCTTTTAAACGTTATTCATGTTAAGGGTGCGGGAGACTCAAGATGACTGAGCTCTTCGCGAAGTAGCACGAGTGTGTAGTCACTTTCTTCGGGCTGCGATCTACTTCGACGAGCAGTTCGTCGAAGTTACTTCGCGAGTAGTGTAGAGGAGGCATGAGTGTAGTTCTTACGCCGCGGTGAATGATCGGGTTCCGCTGTTTTGATTTACTCACAAGTTGAAGTGACAGACAATTTAGGCAAGAGCTTAGCTAATGAAACCAGTTGTTTCGAAATCATTTATTGGGTGTTCTGTCAAGAAATTCTCAGTAGGAGCCCGGCGTCAGCAAGCTGGCGGAGTTTTACGTCCGTGCATAGGACAGCGCGTAAAGCTGTTGGCCCCGCGCTTGATCGCGACGCATTGCCATTTCACCGGACAAGAAAACGAGGGAATAGAGAATGCACATGTGCACTGCTTGCGCACAAGCTCTTGAAATCTGTAATCCTGTCCTGCGCAGATGGCTTGACTCCGGTGAGGTTGGTCACCGTGACCGATGTTCGATCTGGAAGATATTATTATTTAATAAATTTTTTTTTATTTTCCGCTGAAGCAATACATGCATGTAGTTAGTGTGATTGAGATGAACGACCGTGTGTTTCGCGGAATAAAAATAAAGTATGCGCCAAAATAATTTTAACTGAATATCTTGTAAATTATAGCTAATTTAATTTAAAAAAAAACCCCTTATTAAATGAGGTATTCCAAGCAGGGATTGATGGCGGTTAAGGTATGAGGGGTTATTCAGTTTATCCACCACCCCAGACTGAGTGGATAATCGGTATTCGCATATTATTTTTCTTCCGATTTTCTGCCTCAGCTATGTACAGTCGTTTATAAAAACATAATAGAAACTGGCCTAAGATTACTTAGTAGACATTAACATATTTTATATACATAACGAGATGAACTGGAATTTATATAATGGTAAAAGACATTAAGTCCTAACGCCGTATCATTTTATAATAGCAAATATAATTGGACATTAAATCTCTAAGTACATAAAAAGTAAACAGTCGTAAAGTTCTTTAATATATTTTAGCATTCAATTATAGACCACAGTTCAGTGTTTTCATTTATTTATAAGTACATATAGAACACACGCATATACAAACGCAGGCATACGCTTGCTGACACACACACACACGCGCGCACGCGCACACACACACACACACACACGAACGCTAAAACACTCAACACACACTTAGTACATAAATTAAGTAGTAATTTATTTTCTATACTTTTTGAAACATTCTTGATATTTTGAACCTTTATTGTTATATATACTTCAAATCCTACGTACTCCAGGTTCCTGCAAAACATAAAGAGACATTCCTCGCTCCCGATTTCTGGCCCTCTGGGGTAGTGTTTCGCCGATACAGGGACGCGCCAAAAAAAAAAGTTCCCTAAATAGTGTTAAGTTATGTCTATATTTTATATATATTTTTAGGTTAAGGTATATATTGCCATGGGCCAATGTTCTTAATTTTTAAGTCCTTGATGCCTGAAATAAAGTTATTGTATTGTATTGTTAATTTATTAGGTCATAAAATTGGGAGAGGGCGCTGATTACTGAGATACAGGTATAATTCCTAGTTCAATAATCAGAGACTTCACATATTTACTGTATGATTATCAATAAAGCTCATTATTATTATTAAACATTATGTGGGACAGGCAACTGAACAGATAGATCTCCAAATGCATGCGGCGGGACTTACGCAACTTTAATGCTGCTCGTATTGAAGAAGCAATCGAGCGGAACCAGGGCTCCAAAGTCTTTGCCAGAGATCTGTCTGCCAGAAAGTGCCAACTGTCGAAGCTGAAGACCGAATGTGGCAGCCTCGTTTCCGAGACACCTCAGATTTTTGAGTGAGATTGAGGTTCTATGGGCAGCTGAACACGTCATCGTTGGAGCCACCATACTATACTATGTATAGAGTCTAAGATCCGGCTTACTAAAATACCCCCTCATTCTTTTCCTTGATGAAATAATTTTTATATAATAAAATATCCAAATAAATACAAATCGGGGTGATTGACAGCCTATGTTTTGGCAAAGCTATTTTTAATTAAAAATTATTTAACTTTTACTCAAAGCTATTTTTAATTAAAAATTATTAAATTTTTACTCTCATTGTTTTTCCTAAAACATTTATTAGATATTTTTATTGCGAATCCAATGGTATATGGTTGACTTTTCAAATCGTGGCAAGACTAGTGATTGACATGATTTTACTTTTCCAATAATTTTATTTTAAAATAGAGCGTAACAGAGAACACTATATATATTATTATGTGCGGTAGGGAAGGATGCACGATAGTCGGAGCCTGATTAACCCTTTCACCGCCATACCCGTAATATTACGAATCTTAAGGTGAATACCGTCAGCGCCCTCACGTAATATTCCGAAATGCTCATGTTACTAGAAAAACTGCAAGGTTAATTCGATTTTGCTATTAAATTTAATACATTTAATTAATTGTAGACAGTTGTAGATACCAATGTCAAAAAATTTACAGAAACATATAGTGTTACTAAGTGCAAGATGAAATTAAACACCTTGCTGCCTCGCTATCCCCGTGATATTTCTGAGACCAGTGCTGCGCCACTGTAAAAGATTTATCAAAAAATTTATATTTGTATTGTTTCAAAATTAAAATGATAGTCAAGTCATCATAATGTAATATTTTAATGAACTGAACTAAACATTCATATAAATTTAATTTCATATATTATTTAAATGATTTTTGCGATAAGAAATTAGAATATTAATTTATAAACCAAACAACCCAAATGTAAAATTTAATTATCCCGGTACGTCACTAGTGCATTCGAGTTGAGAACGCCAGCACCATGAAGCATATAGCCAGCACCGTGATTTCACGTGCAGCTGATGTCAAGGATAAACGTAGTGATTATATTCTCTTTGGTCAAGGACAGTGGCGTTTCAATAAATTGTCAATTACTGTGGCGCCGTCACCGTGATAACACGCGTGTTCTATACTTATTTGCATTTTTAGTGCAGAAATTATCGATAATGGTAGACGAAGAAGAACTGTTAAATATTTTAGAATCGAATAATGATATTCACAGTTTCATCTACAGACAGTGATATTGTATCGGTAAGTAAATATTCATGTAAAATAAATAATCAGGTATTTAAGAAACTTACACTACATTTATATTTGCTTAATTTATACATTTTTTCAGGAACGTAAAGAATCCTCTAGTATATGGAGTAGAATCATCATGTCAAAAAGTGATGAATCGCCGCCGTTATCGCCATCTATTCGGCCGAAAAAGAAAATAAAAAGAAAAATTTCCAAAAATGGTAGATCAACGCAGTCCGAAAATCATTACATATGATATATGAAATCGGAAAAAGATGACTAGACAGCTTATATTCTATGGGCAGCTGTACACGTCATCGTTGAAGCCACACGCAAGTGTGAGTAACGATCCAAGAGCGAGTCTTATCCGACACTATTCCTAAGATATCCCGGACGTCAGTCTGAGCGAGATTAGAATGGCTCTCCAGCACCTTAAAAATGGCAAGTCCCCGGGCGAGGATGGAATTACAGCGGAGCTTCTGAAAGCGGGTGGAAAACCGGTACTTGAAGTCCTTTAGAAGCTTTTTAATTCCGTCCTACATGGTGGCACTACTCCGGAGGCGTGGAGCAGAAGTGCGGTGGTTTTATTCTTCAAGAAAGGTGACAACGCTCTCTTGAAGAACTACAAACCGATTTCCCTTCTGAGCCGCGTCTACGTGAGTTTTCGAGAGTCATTACGAATCGTCTCACACGCAGACTTGACGACTTCCAGCCTCCTGAACAAGCCGGTTTCTGAAAAGGCTTTAGTGTACCATACACCACATACATACCCAGCGGCAGATTGTACAGAAGACAGAGGAGTATAACTGCCACTTTGCCTTGCGTATGTGGACTATGGGAAAGCCTTTGATTCCGTCGAAATTTTGGCGGTGCTGCAGTCCCTTCAGCGGTGCCAAATTGACAGTCGGTATATCGAAGTGCTGAAGTGTTTGTACAGTAGAGCTACGATGGCTATCCGAGTACAGAATCAGAGTACGAAACCTATACAACTGCACAGAGGTGTAAGACAGGGTGACGTTATATCCCCGAAACTCTTCACCGCTGCATTGGAAGACGTTTTCAAGCTACTGGACTGGAAAGGATGCGGTATTAACATCAATGGCGAGTACATCACTAACCTTCGATTTGCCGACGATATAGTCCTTATGGCAGAATCGCTGGAGGACCTAATCACTATGCTCAATGACCTCAATAGTGTCTCCCAACGGATAGGTCTTAAGATGAACATGGACAAAACAAAAATCATGTTTAACGTCCATGTCACACCTATGTCAGTAGTTGTTGGGAGCACTAAGCTCGAAGTTGTTGACGAGTATGTTTACCTGGGACAAATAGTCCGACTAGGTAAGTCCAACTTCGACCGAGAGGTCAATCGACGGATTCAACTCGGCTGGGCAGCGTCCGGGAAACTACGATACATCTTCTCGTTAGACATACCTCAAA